CTGCTATTGTGGTACTCGATCTCAGACAAATTTAATTTAGCCGCGCCGCGTATTCCCCAGTGAGGGCCTTGGGAGTGGGGGGGGGGATCTGCATCTCAGCTCCACACTGAGGGACACTCTCAGACTGTCACTGAGGGGGGAGGATCTGCAGACTGCAGCCTCAAGGCACCAGACACCACTTAACATTAGCAAATATGGACAGCGTGAGAGTAATCTGTGCCTGGCGACTATGCACCCCACCAAATGCCAGTCAAGCCGCCACGGGGGTGGGGGAGGGGGAGTGAGATCGGGTTTGAGCCACGATGGGGCTTCTGATTGGGTCTGAAGCCTCGGGACACGCCAGGTTTGGGCCACATTCTCACCCCGTCACTTGAAATCGCTTGCATACTTTGAATGTGTTTCCATCAAGGCCCCGTTCCTACTACAGTGCCAGCCATTCCTCAGCATCTCCTACCAACAGCACACACTTTGCAGCACGCGCTGGAATTTGAATTTGAGGATAGAGAAATTTAAATGGCAAATCGCTTTAACAATTCCCATTGTTCTTAACCACCTGCTCGAATACATATCTTTAATAATTCATTTAAAGAAATTCAAACCCTTGCCTGGTTTCCCAGGTGCACAGCAGTTTTTTTGAAGAGTAACACGGCAAAGAAACGGCGTCATTGCCACGATCATCAGAAGTCGCTCAGGAGCTCGGATGTGCTCCTGCCCTGATAATCCCCACAAAACACATGGTGCACAATACAGGAGGCCCCCCAGACAAGAAAGAGGACACCAGCGCATCCTTCTTTAGATTTTTTTTCTTTTAAGAACAGCTGCCTGATTTCAGCGATAACATCTCACAGCTGAAAGGAGATAACTGAAAGCAGCAGGCTGGAAAAGAGGAAAACAGCTGTAAGGAGCGGCCATCTTTGTTAGGAGCGTGACGGAGACAGAGCCAGAGCGCATGGCAGTGATGCTGCACGCTGCAAACCCGCAGCAGCGAAGGAGGCATGCGGCGTAAAGGGGGACTGGGGTGCAGCCGTGTCTTGGGACTGTTTCAGAAATCCAGAAATTCTGAAATCCTACCTGGAAAATGAACTTTAAATCATCTTAAAGTGTGCTGGGAAAATGAACAACTGGGGGGGGGGGTGCTCAGAGATGCACAGACACCATCAGCATGTCTGAATGCACCCCCTCCATGCGGTTTACAGAAGTGGGGCCAGGTGTGTGGGGTCAGGTGACCCGCATGGGAAAACTCCTTCACGCTCCATCAATAAATGACATGCAGGGGATGGCAAATCCCCCCCCTTCTTATCATGAGTCAAACACGTCCGTTGCGATCTGTAAACACTGCATTAATGCTCCGGGGCCAGAGCTGTTTAGACAGGCTGCAGCGAACCCAAGGCACAACAATAATGCAAAATCAGACTGCAAAAGAAATCGACAGAGCCATTCCTGTAAAAAGACAACTAAAGGCGGTGTGTGTGTGTGTGTGTGTGTGTGTGTGTGTGTGTGTGTGTGTGTGTGACATGACATTCTCTCCCTACCTACATTATTACTAATGCAGAGGGAATTTGAGAGATCCAGAAGCCAGGAAGCAGCAATAAGCCAAACAAGTCAGGGACAATGAGATTAAGGTCTTCCCCAGGAGGGTGGGCGTGCAGCCCTGTTTAAAATTAGCCTCTCCCAAATTCCCTCTCATTATATCAATTACACAGCGGGGCAGGCCGGGGGAAAAATTGGAATTTCACAGGCAGCCCCTGGGAACAGCAGCCAGGCGCGCGTGCAGCCCCAGGTCAGAGGTCAAGGGCTCTGGAGGTGGCAACACGTCTCTCAGAGCCCAGCGGGGGTACAGCAGCCCGACCCGGGAGGAGATCCATCTGAAAATCAGTCTGCAGGGAGACATCCGACATTCAGGCAGGATAATGGTCGACAAGGTGGCGTCTCCGTTCCTGCTGGAGCACACAGCTGTAGTGACACCACCCGACTGTCTGAGAAACATGTCTGGAAAAATGCAAAAAAAAAAAAAAAAAAGTGCCAGAGCAGTGCTTAGTAACACAAAGACGATAAACCTTGTGACTAAGGCGCAGTGAAGGCTGCTTCTGTGCTCTGTAATCTACATGTATTATTTCAGAACACCCTGTACATCTGTTCTGGGGGATCCACACGTTTATTCCGTGCCCGGCTAAAAAAAAAACAAAAAACGTCCACTTGGGATAAAAATGAACCTTCCCGTTAAATTCATTCACTGAACTGGAAACTCAGAGGTCAAGGAAAATCCCATTAAAGCTACCTGTAATTTTTAAAAATGACAGGCCCACCCAAAAGAGCAGCCATTTTCTGGCCTAATAAGCATAATCCAATAATGCATTGTCTGAACACAGCTTTAACACACACTTACGTGCATTAACCTATGTCTGTTTATGTTGAACAAAATCCAGTTTCATTCAAAGGAGAAAAAAATACTGAAAAACAACAATTATTTGGAGGTTATGCATTTTCCCAAAACGCTTATCCACTACAGGGTCTGGGTCAGTATGGTGTCCATGGCAGTCAGCACCACGTACCATGTAGGGGACACCCAGGCCAGGATGCAAACATGTCCAACAGAACTGGGGGGGCAAGTACCACCCATGAGCCACCATGGCACCTTTGTACTTCCTCTTTTGAAGCCATAAACCAACAAAGCTAAGAGGAAGTACGGCAAAACGTACTGTTTCACGCTACATTAACGGAGGTCAAGCCAACTCCCCATGAGGCTGGGGGGGGGCAGACAGGAGCGCGTGTTTTGTCCGGCTCCTCAGAGAGCCCCAAACTCCTTTATCACCACCCTGGCACAGAGCCAAGGCCAGGACGCGTGACAGGGAGGGAGACCGTGTTCCACCCGCAGCGATTTACAAACAATCACTGCACCCCCACCGGGACAAACATGAAAAACTGACCGGGCTTTTCGGGAACGCAAAGTGAAGGGCGGCGCAGGAATCATGAGCGTCGCAACATGGACGCGCTGCAGGATCTTGGGTTCCTAACTCGGGCCCGAATCACTCGAGAAGCTCCAGCACGAGCTGGAACGGAGACTCCTTATTGGCTGGGCTGGCCAATCACAGCAGGCGGCAGGAGAGGGGCACGGAGCTGGGACGCCACCCACATGCCTTGACTCTCCACACCTGTTCTGACTCATAGATTCCAAAAAAGCCAACAAAATGAGTCCCAGTCACTGACACTCAGGTAAAAATGGATGCGAGGAAGATGTAAAGATGACCCAGCATGTATCCCCACCGCCTTGCACCCTTCAGGCAAACACCCCCTTCGCCATGGAAGAGCTATGCGAAAAATCTGCCCGTTCAGGGTACAGAGCCCCACACGCGGCATCACACCAGAGCAGGAAATGCAAGGCCACTTCTGCTTCAGCCAACAACTCAAAAGCCCCCCCTCGTTTTCCGGAACAGATAATGTGGGGGGGGGGGGGGGGACTGAGCGGCTGTACGAAGCTGTACATGTCGGACCTGCAACGAATAGGTTTTGATAAAACTGCATGAGGACGAGATGCACCAAGAACATCTGCTGCTGTCAGACTGCGGCTCAGCACGAATCCAGCTGGAGAATCATTTAACACGGAGATTAATGTCCACACCGGACACCAGGCTACAAAGTGGGCACCCGAAATAAACAGCGCCCCCCATGTGGCTGGATACCTACACACTGCATGCTATCCCTGGATCTGCATGAGGGAGGGGGAGTTCCCACACTCTCCGTGACCAGGACCAAGAAATCTCGATCTCACTGGGACAGATGATGGAGGTCATTTGGGACAAATGATGAAGGTGATTTCCCTGGGAGTCAGTGAGAGACACCGGGGATGGCTTGGGGGGTGGGGGGCCGGGGGGGTCCACTGGATTTCAATTAGGAGCTCATTAGGTATGCATGAAGGACTGACCCTCCCATGGCCTCTCCTGGGGTGTGGTCAAGTGACCCTGACCTTGAAAGAGTGCTCCCCCACCAAACAGCCCTGAAAACAAATCTCACTGCTTCCCTCTCACTGAAAGGGGGGGGGGCTGCTCTCTTCCTGTCTCATTGTTCTGATTGCCCTGAAGCTAAACTGGAAGATTAGGGCCCGCGAAGCCTGACAATAAAGGGGACGGGGCCTGGACCGGTCAGCATCCAACACTAAAGACAGCCGGAGCCATCCATTCCCTCACCAGCATTAAAAATCACAAGGATTATGCAGTTGCTGACGCAAAATGTTATTATTAAACTCGCAAGCCAGGCTCAACTTTCACGTTACTTAAAAACTATAAAAACTAAAGGGGAGTTTTCGGTAAACATTATGACCCTCTGCTGTCCCACAGCACAACATCTGTATCGATATTAGGCAGATGTAAACACACACAGATACATTACAGTATGTACGGTATACACAGCCATATAGCCCATACACAGCCATATAGCCCATACACAGCCATACAGCCCATACACAGCCATATAGCCCATACACAGCCATATAGCCCATACACAGCCATATAGCCCATACACAGCCATATAGCCCATACACAGCCATATAGCAGTAGCACAATGAAGCCTTTCTGCAGCCCGACTCTCATGCTAGTGTTAGGAGGCTGGCCCTGCTCCATGTACCCATTTCAGGCAGCCTGTGGGACAGACACTTCACTTACCAAGAGTAAACATTCAGTTCTGCGGAATCTGACTCCTTTAACATTCTCTTATATAAGATGCTCTTGTACTTTATGTTCCATGAAAAACTGTTACGGCACCTATTTTATAACACGCTGTCATCCCAGGGAGGTAAACAAGGTGCCGAGATGCAGGCCGCAAACAGAAAACTTTTCTGTATTACTTAACACTACAGGTCCCATCTGACAAGCCAAAAAGACAAAAACGCAAAAATAAAATTAAAATTAAAAAACGTGGTAACCGCCTTTTATTCTTCCTTTACACTTTGACAGTGTAAAGCGCAGCAATGCAGGTTCAGCAGCCTCACACCTTCAGGGCTGAGGGTTCGATTAATGCTCCAGGCTCTGTGTCAAGTTTTTATATGCGATCCTTGTATTCATACAGGATTCCTCATGCAGTCAAAAAAAAAAAAACCTTCACGATTTAGATGACATGGTACCTCTAAATCGCCTGTAGCGTGTGATTCCGTGTCTGTATGCACGTGTGGCTTCCCGTCCAGGGTGCCTCCTGCCTTGCGTTTCCTGATGACAGGATTCCCGTCACCCTGCCGATGACGGACGGATCAAATGTGCACATCCTCAGAGGAAGCATTTCCACACAGCTCGAAAATAAAGCATTTAACCAATCAGGGGCTGCCACATCAGAATGGCATGTTCGAACATGATCTGTGGCCCGGGAGTGAGCTGAAAGCTGGAAGTCTCAGGTCGGGCCAAGGATGACAACAGCATGTCCCGGTACACCATGAAAAGATCTCATTACAACAAATATAGACTAAAGCATGCAGAATCGCAATGGATAAATGCGGAAGTGGGAAACAGGTCCCTCCCACTCCCCAAGTCCGGCATCCATCTCTGCTTTCGGGTGATATTTTTTTTAAAAAAAACACACCGTCGTGGGGGTTAAGTGTGAACGAGGATGAAACCCAGGAGTCAGGAGTGAGGCCCGGCGTGCCCCCATCACTCGGACACACCAGACAGAGGCGACCCAATCAGAGTGGGCCGGCGGCTGCGTCACTCCCCCATGGGTGTGGACAAAGAGGAGAGGGCAAAACAGCAAACAGAAACTGCTCCTGCTCTTCCTCGCATAAACATTTAATCACAAAGACATTTCCCTCTGCCTTTCATCCCATCTTCATTTCATTTGAACCCCATTCATTTAATCCTAATAACCATCTTGTGTTCCCCAAGCAGAACTAGGACAGAGATTCAAATTGCACTGAAGGTCTGTGGTATTTCTGCGACATCCTTCTCAGATCCCACACGTTCGGAACGCCACTGGGATCCGCCGGACTCCGGGCCAAGCATAGGGATGGGCGTGTGTCTGAGAGCCGACGCCCCCTGGTGTCCCTCTAGTCCAGGGAACGGCATCCGAAAACAGAGCTCTTAAGAAGCACGTGGCTTTGGGAGTGTCCGCGACCTTAGCGCTTTAGTCAGGGTCAGGAATGTGGAGAAGCTGGGGTCGGCATGACCCCCCACCCCCCCTCAGCCGGGATTCTGCTGAGGCCCACCTGCCTGCTGCAGTCAAACCCGGGGCGAGGTCACCGTTGACACCTCTTCCCCCGCACCCATCCCTGGTCAGCAAAGACCTCCAAACAAAAACAAAACCTCAGAAACAGACGTATAATGTGACAGAGGAGAAGCCATTGTTCTCCCCCGGATCTGCATCACTAGAATTGCAAATCATGGGTGGTGGGGGGGGGGGGGGGGGGGTTAATTACCCCAGACGATTGTTAAATGCATGCTAATGTCAGCACGAGATGCTCACTGCCGAAGCTCGAGCTCCTCTCCCAGCCCCACCCCCCTCCCCTTCGCCCCCCCCTCCCCACCACTGATGTGGGAGTCAGATCTGGGAGGCCGATCGCCATCCACTGAACAAAAGCTCTTTCACAAAGCCTTGGAGCCGTTACATCTGTTTATCCTTAT